TCTTTCTTGATTTTACTGTTTTGTAAACGCTCTGAGGATGAGTTGTTGTTTTACAATCAAGCGGTGTGTAAATTTTTACGGAAGAAATAAATAACAAATGCACTTAGCATTTTAATGCAAATCAAGCAGTGCAATCGAAACATGTCAATTGCTTACCATACAGTAAAGGTCATTTTACAGCACGGCTGGATTTTAGCATGTACTTGGAGATGTAAGGAGCAGTCTTAAGAGTCTTTCCTAGTGCTACATGGAGATGCCTTCAGGGGTTAAGGGTTAGGACCTTCTGAAAGCATAGCATCCCTGAGCTATAGATGCTCCAGCTGAACAATAAAAATTGCCTTATACCAAACCAGAATATTGGTCCATGTAGCTCAGTGCTGTGTATGACCTGGTGCCTGCCAGATACTTTGAACTACAATTACCATAAACCCAAGCCAGGTTGACCTGGGCTGGGGCTGATAGGGGTTGCAGTGCAAAACATCTAGAAGGCACCAGACTGCAAAGGCTGCTGCTGTACACTGACTGGCAGCAGCTCCCAGGGTTTCAGGCAGGGCTCTATCTCAGCCCTACCTGGAGATGCAGAAGAATTGGACCTGGGACCTTCTACATGCAAAGCGGGAGCTCTACTGCTGAAAAGTTGCCCATCCCCAGGTCATGGAGAAATACTCTGGCAGGGAGCCAGACTGCATTTCCCTGTCAATCAAGCATTCAGAGGTCAACACAGGTTTCCTTCAGTGTCTAGGGTGACATCTAGTCCACTTTTAAAGATATTCTTCCGTGTGGGGGGAGGGTTTATCCCCACAGTGTTTCTGACCATATGCAACAGGGCATTGTGAATGTCTTGCCTACACAACATCCCCACACACCAAGAGGCTGAATTTTGCACCCTCCTCTCCTCCCAAAGGGGGGGGGGGAGGAACCTAAACGTTTTGCTCTGGCTAACAAGAGCTTAGCCCCGCAAAGTATTAAGACTCTCTTACTTAGAAACTCTGCTGGCCTGAACACCTGCCTTCACATAAAGGGAGCTTCCCAGTTAAGCACAGAATATGCAGCAGACAGGGATGCAGACTTCACACATGCTCAGAGGAACTCCTGCCTTCCTTTACAAGCACCACTCCTGTAATCAGCACTTGTTCTTGCTGTAACTACTGTACAGTGGTACCTCAGGTTAAGTACTTAATTCGTTCCGGACGTCCGTTCTTAACCTGAAACTGTTCTTAACCTGAGGTACCACTTTAGCTAATGGGGCCTCCTGCTGCCACTGTGCCACCAGAGCACGATTTCTGTTCTCATCCTGAAGCAAAGTTCTTAACCTGAAGCACTATTTCTGGGTTAGCGGAGTGTGTAACCTGAAGCGTATGTAACCCAAGGTATCACTGTATTTGGTTATGGAGCAGCCTGTTCTTTCCTTTTCGGTATTGACTTCTGAATTACGTATTTGTTGTTCCTATTCTAAATATGAAGGCCTGTGTGCTGTCTTTGCAAATGAATCTGCACAGAGTAAGTGCTGGGACTTAAAGCTAGGCTAGAAAATTGCTGCCTCCAACCAGCAGGTCCCTCTTCTTCCTAGAGTGAGCAGTGCTTAGTGGATGATGTGGACAGAGCTCTCATGGATCAGGTCAGTGGCCCATCTAGTCCTGCACTCTCTTCTCACAGTGGCCAACCAGATGCCTGTAGGAAACCTGCAAGCAGGAATCAAGCACAATAGTCCTCTCCCCTCCTGTAGCTTCCAGCAAGTGAAATTTTGAAACATTGCTGCCTTTGACCACAGAGGCAAAGTACAGCCATCATCGTGCTTAGTAGCCACGACAGCCCTCTCCTCCATGAAATTTGTCTCATTCTCTTTTAAAGCAGTCAAGATTGATGGCTATCACCAAACCTTTGTGGATGAGAGTTCCATAGGACAAAAATGGAATTCAGAGGCAACACATACACACACATAACCCTCCAATTTTGGCCAAATTGTTCACCCATCAACTTTCTAAAAACTCTAGCTATGGGTATCAACAGGGAAAAAATAGATGGCTGCGCGCCCCCGCAAAAAATAATAATCCAGCGCTGGGTTGAGAGAAACGAACTCTGCGCGCAGAGACATTCCCATTTTGACCCTTTCTTTTCCGAGCTCTGCTGGCCTTTCCTAAATAAGTAAATAAGAATTCCAAACAGGTGTCCTTTAAAAGATAACGCCCCTAAAGGTCAGCGTCAACGGAGCCGCTTGGAACGCAGTCCCCTTCCGTGCGCCCAAGGCGCAAAACCCTTCAAGGCGCGCCAGGGCGTCCCCTCGCCACACCGGTGCTCACCTGGACTCGGCACCCTCCCTGGGTGAGCAGCCACTGGAGACAGGCCAGGTTGCCGGTGGCGGCGGCATCGTGGCCCGGCGTGGCCCCATTGCGAGCCCGCCCGTTGCCGGCCAGCGCCGCTTCCTCCACCAGGTAGCGCAGGCAGTTCAGCTTCCCGGCGCGGGCGGCGTGGTGAGCAGGAGAGGCGCCCAGCGCGTCGCGGAGCTGTGCGGGCGACAGCAGCTGCCCGTCGGCCTGCAGCGCCTTGAGCGTGTCCACGTCCCCCTGGCGGGCGGCCTGCAACGCCCGCTCCAGGGCCATCGCCTGCGCCTCCGACGGCAGCCTGTCCGGCCGGCTGGCCCTCAACACCTGGAGGGAGCCATATGGGGGCCGCCCGCCTCGCCCCGACGGCCTCCGGGGAGTCTCCGGCGTCGGGTGCCTTGCAAAGGAAAGGTGGGCGGCCCGCGAGGTACTGTGGCGGTACTCCTCTACTTTCCCGTCCCCTCTAACTTCGCCTGAGCAGCCGGACGCGAGGAGCCATCGCGCCCCGTCGAGGTTTGCTAGAAGTCTCGCCCGCGGTTCTTTCCTCGGCTGCGGAGCTCTGCGCGACAGAAGGGCCGGCCTCCCGCCCCGACTGCCGGCTCCAGCTCCTCCCTCCCTCCCTCCCTCCAGCACCAGCAAGAGCCTCCGGGGCGCCCTCCTGCCCCTCCCCGAGCCGGCCGGCTCCTCCCCTTCGCCGGCAGCGCTGAGCCTGGAGGCGGGAAAGGGTTAAACGCGAGATTTAAAAGGGAGCGGCATCGCCTTTCTCCGCACAAGCGCTACAAAGCTGTAATAGCCCCGCGGGCTCTGGACTCTGGGAATGATCTCTGAGCATGTGCAGTCTGCTTTTCCTAACACCTGCCCGATCCGGAATGATGGAGCCCTTCACCATCTACTTTGAAAAAAACAGCACCGCCGTCGATTAATCAGGGGGGCTGATCTGATTCATCCAGATCAGTGTTTCCCAAACTTGGGTCTCCAGCTGATTTGGGACTACAACTCCCATCATCCCTGACCACTGATCCTGCTAACCAGGGTTGATGGCAGTTGTAGTCCCAAAACAACTGGAGACTCAAGTTTGGGAAACCCTGATCATCTATGAACAAGTTAAAAAGCATGGGCCCCAGTACCAATTCTTGGGGAACACCCAATTTTTACTTCTCTCCCTTTGGGGAACTGCCCACTTATTCCTGCTCTTTGTTTCCTGCAGCTTAACCGATTCCTGATCTACAAGACAACCTCTCTTCTTTTTCCTTGACTGCTAAAGCTTACTCAGGAGTCTTTGAGGAGGCACCTTGCGGAAAGCATTTGGAAAGTCCAGGGCTTTGGCTAGTTGAGCACACTCTAGACTGGCTTTTTGTTGTAACATTGTCTTCACCCTGCTTGGTTTCAGAGCCAGTCCTAACATTAGGCAAAATGAAGCAGCTGCTTCAGGTGGCAGATGTTGAAGGGCAGCACCACCAGCTCCGCTCTACTCCCCCATCACCTGGTCCTTCTTCCTGAGCCTTCTCAGGCCAGATTGCACAACCCTTTATGGGGAGCGGGCGGGAAGAAGGGAAATCAACAACACAGAAACCCCACACTACACGTTGTGCTTTAGGTTCCCAAACCTCTCCTCCTCACTCAGACCAGTCGAAAATTGTTGAGGGTGTTGATGGTATTTTCTGCCTGTTGTACGAATTGCAATGCACAGTGCTGGATGTTGTGCCATTTCCCCATTCAATACAATAAAATTAAGGCTGTCAAACAATAAAAGACATTATGAGGCATAAGAAAGCAGCAGAAATACAATTCAATTAGGAATATTTAATGCAATGGTTGTGCAGTCTTCCACCTGCAGCCACAAATTCATGGATGCACCACAGACCACCTGAATGAAGCTCATGGACCACAGTTTGAGGGTGCCAACCTTAGAGCAAATATTCAGCTTTGACCCTATGAGAAGAGGAGGCAGGCGGCAGAGTGTCAATTATGGGTTGTATCCAACATTAGAGTATGTCCATAAAAATGGCTAACTTGAGTCTACTCTGAGTAGGACTTTGTTGGATGCCATGCTTTGTTTGATCGAAAGAAAATTTTCCTTTGACGCCAATTCTGCCCATGCTCAGGGGCATTGTGCACTTTGTCTGTGAGGGCAGCCCCATCTGCCATTCAAAGGGCTTTTTAAAATTTCTGTTCAACCTCCCGCAAGTTAGCCTCACAACTCGCCACATTTATTTATTTATAATTAAGCTTGCATAAAACGTATCACAAGACGCTACAAAACACAGAAGGATAAAACCAACAAAAGTATCCATCGAAACATTGTTTTAAACATCAGCAAATACTGGTTGCCTTAAAAAAGGATAAAATTCTTGTTGCAAAGGCTTTCAAAAGACACCTGAAAGGAGAGAGGGGTAGTTCTGCCAAAACCTCTACCGGCAAGGAGCTCCATGGGGCACGGGCCACCAATTAGTATTTGCTGATGTTTTAAACAACGTTTTTATGGATTATTTTGTTGATTTTATCTTTCTGTGTTTCTATTAAGGACAGTCTGTTTCCTTATGCACTGCCTTGATTGTTGAGCTCCTCTGATGGGTCACAATCATGGAATCGAATGGTCCTCTAAGAAACACCTGCAAGAAACATCTTACTTTTTACTAAACGCCACTATCAGAAGATGCTCTGGGGTCCCTCCCTCCCTCAGACGTATGTCCAAGTAGTCCCAGCGGCATCTCCAGCAGGCACCTCCTTGGCTGGACTCATGCTGAAGGTCTTAAGAAGCACCCCTTCGTAGTACGACGTGACAGCTGCAGCAATGGCTGCCAGGCCACCTGCTACAGCCATCCACAGGGAATAGCCATACTCAAAGCTGGGGAATCCAGGGATGCTCAGAGACACCTAGAAGGCAAATGGGAAAGAGCTGGTTGGTCAAGGATTTGGCATGGAGGTGGATCCCAGGCATTGGCATTGTGGGGTGCTGTGGGTGCTTTCAGTGGCTACCATCCACAATGGCGATGTTATCTCTCTACTGTTTGAGGCAGTGTGCTTCTGAATATCAGCTTCTGGGAATCACATATGGGGAAAGTTTGGTTGGTCAGTGTGAGGATGGTGGGCTAGATGGGCTTTTAGTCTTACCCAGCAGAGCTCTATGTTCTTATGTTGAGCTGCTAAGGATGCCTCTGCTGCATGCTCATCCCAGTCTACTCTTTGTTTGGAAGAGTAAGTTTACCCTAGCTAATTATGTGACCACATCCTCGCAATGGGTATGATGTACCATCTGTGTAGCATTTGGGCTGCAGACATAATCATATGCCTTTGCTGGTAGCCAGATTCTTTTTCACCCGTGTCCAGGCGATGGCTGGGGAGTGGTGAAAGGTATGTGGGATTCGCAGGGATTTGGCAACCCACAGAGAGAGAGACCAAGGGTTACATGCAGCCTGTGAGCTGTAGGTTGCCAGTCTGTGTCTTTTCAACAGTACTTATGGGGCAGTAGGCTTATGAGTTGCTTTCTTCTGTGATCGAACTGTCATATAATCAGCAAGGTCTTGAAGAAGCTAGAAGAACTGTCGCTCACCCACCGTCTGCCTTACATCAGCAGCAGCAGTGTCAAGGGGCCCTGGGAATCACGGAAGTAGTTCCCATGGCACCTGTTGACCATAATCACTGCTGTGAATGCTCACCGTAGGGTCTAGGGCCCAACAGGGGCCTTGTTGTGAGCTCGAATACGACTTACATTTGGGCCAGGGAAGGGGAAAGCATCCAGTCAGTTCCTTTATGGCAAGGAAGAAAAAGCTCTGGATCTCCAGATGTTGCTGGACTACAGCTCCAAACATCTTCAGCCATTGGCTTTGCAGGCTTGGGCTAGAGTACAACATCTGTGTGGGAATGTTGATTAAATACGATCTTTCCTCACTCACGCTAGTGAGTCAGTAGCAGAGTACATTCCCCAGTATTTAGCAGGAAGCTAGTTGGTAGATTTGTCTGAATCTCTTTACTTTAGCAGTCCAATCTGGCTTTGTCCAGATCGGGTTTGTTCCTAGTCATAGCTGTCAACTTTTCCCTTTTCTTGCGAGGAATCCTATCCGGAATAAGGGAATTTCCCTTTTAAAAAGGGAAACGTTGACAGCTATGTTCCTGGTAAATCCCCTTTGTTCCCTCTTAAAAAGAATAAAGATACAACAGTCTTCTTTTAAAAGTAATGATAAGAAGTTTACTCACATTCAGTTCACAGTAGGTTCCCTGAAGGCCGGCTTTAGCTTGTAATTACAGAAGAGAGTTTATGGGGATTGAGCCCATGTGCTTCTGGCTGAGAGCCAGCACACAGCAAAAGCATGAAGAGAAAATGGTCGAGACAGAAAGATGGCTGCGTGACCAGCCCTTTTATGGGGTCTCACAGGCTCACACCTGGACACATGCAGGGGGAGGATGCTCCAGACAGGTGTCACAGGAAGTTCTCGTGGCTGGAGTAACATCCCCGTGTGTCCACTCTGGGCAAACAGGAAGTGTTGTACATGACTGCTTATGTTCCATCCCACACATTGTCAGTTGGGACTGCCATGTTGGAAACTGCAATCGGGCAGATTTTATGGACGGTGCTGATTGCGAAAGCAGGTGTGGTGTAGTGGTTAGAGTGTTGGGCTAGGACCCAGGAGAGACCAGGGTTCAAATCCCCACTCAGACATGATGATGCTCACTGGGTGGCCTTGGGGGCCTAACCTACCTCACAGGGAGGGAGAAGGAAGGAGATTTGAGAGGAGGCTCTCCAAGCAAACCTGGATGTATCCGTCCAAGCTGCTGCCTGAGGCAACTGCCTCAGCATGTCTCATGGGTGGGCCAGCCCTGGTCAAGAGACTTTCAAATGCTCTTCAGCACTATTTGAAAGCAAGGTGTGACCAAAGCCCTGCACCCCACCCATGGGAATCTCACCGAAACGTTCTTGTCCTTTTGGTAATTTTGAAATGCAATTTATTTTCACATTAAGGGATGGGACACTGTTTAAAAAAGAGGGAGGGCATTCTGGCACAGTGCTACCCTAGGCTAGCCCTCTGCCTTCAAGCATCTCCCCATTGTCTGTGTTGGAGTAAGCACTATTTCTCTGCGTGTTGTACAATACAACCACCACAAGGAGGGTGGGTAAAAAAGGACACACAGCCATAGCAGACAGGGGAAATACCTCATACTGGTGCTGGAAGAAGACATACAGGCAATATCGGATCACGCCAATGCAGGACAAAAAGCCTAAAAGGAAAGGGAGAGAGGTGTGAGCTCTTATGAACTTGGAGTGCAGAACCTATTTACTTTCTCCCCCCCCCTACATGGGCATAGCCATGATTTTGGTGAGGGGGGGCAGAACCTAAGTTAGCTATGTATTTTTATTATTTTTTATTGATTTAGGGGGGGTTAGCTGTCCCTCCCTGCCCCCCCCTTTGGCTATGCCCATGCACCCCCCCTGCAAGTCTTCAGCTTGGGAATTCCCAAATTGGGTGCCAGACATGGGCGTAGCCAGGATTTATGTTGGGGGGGGAGCAGGGCACCCACTTGCCATCATCCTCTGTCTAGAATGAAATGTCTCTACAACAGTTGTTTTAAATTACTTTCGACTCCAAGTGCTCAGAAAAATCTGTCAAAGTCTACAATTTCTACTTTTAGTTAATTGTTTTTATTTATTTATTTATTTACTTGATTTGGAAGGGAAATTGCCCCCCCCCAGCTATACCCATGGTGCCAGACCCACTGATATGCTGCAAGGAATACAGAAATCCAGTGATTTAAGACTCTTGTGAATCACTGAATTGTAGAATTGTAGAATCACAGCTATAGAACTATAGAATCCGTGGCAGATGGCCATCCGACCTCTGTTTAGAAACCCCCAAGGAAGGAGAGTCCATCACCTTCCAAAACAGCCAGAAAGTTATTCCCAAAGTGCCTGTCCAAAGAAGAGGCTGCCTGTTGATTCTGTGCTTGAGTCACTGCTCTGGGCTGACCTCCTTCCAGCCCAGAAAAGAGAACCATGAAACATGAGCTGCTCTGAAGTTGTGAAACTTTTAGTCTTACGTACACAGGGTTGTGTAAGCAAGTATGTTTGTGTGTTTTGGCTGATGCTGGAAGCTGGAGACATAGAGGCACGTCTTACTCTGTGCTGGACCCATGAGTTGTGACGTGGGGCTTCCCTGGAACCCTAATGTGGAAGCAAGACCTGCTGGAGTCTCCAAGCCACAAGCTCCTCTATCCTTTACTCATACGTCCAAATAAAATTCTAAAGACGCCACAGTCTCCAATGACCTTCATTCCAAGGAAACCAAACCCTGGGTGAATGCTGGAATCTCTCACCACTCAGAGTGGGGTCACATGCAGCAATATCCCATGGGTCTAGGCATGCTTCCCCACTTTCTTCTGCAATAAGGAATTGTGCAGCCTGATCTATGTGTCATGGTAAGGCTCAAGGAGGAGTGACTAGGGCAGAGGACGTGTGGCTCATCTGATTCTGCCGACTGAGGGAGGTGCCTCTCTTTGCCCAATGGCAGGGCTCATCAATGACACTGCAATCAAAAAGAGGTGTGAGCCAGCTTGCATGGGCTTTACCTGTCCCTCAGCACTGCAGGGAATTGTTTTCGTCTAACGGAGAGGGCTCTTGCGTTGAAAGCCTCTGGTCTTCAGTGGAGGACATACCTGCAAAGAGATAGCATCCCGTGGAGAGGCAGAGGCAGCGCCACTTGGCTGTGGCCTCTTGGAAGCAGCGGAAATATGGACATCCTGAGAGGAGGCAGATGAAGGCTGCACCCCCTGCGATGGCAGATGTGATGAGCGAGGCTCTTGCGATGACAATGGCCCCTGCAGGAAGATACATAGGTCAAGCCCCAGCAAGTGACCAGGAACACACCAGCATGGTTTTGAGTGGGGACAAGATCGGTATGGGACAGTTAAATATGGGACTGCAGGGTCTGCTTGGTATGGGGGGGGGAGGCCAGGGGTTCTTTGTCCCAGTATCCTGTCTCTGACCATGGACCAGCAAATCATACAGGAGTCTTCCTCCAACCTGGCACTTCCAAATGTTTTGGACTACATGTTTCTTTCTGCTTCTTGTAGTCCAAAACATCTGGAAGCACCAGGTTGGAGATGATATATATAATGAAATAAAAAACTAATGCTTAAAATAACCTTTGTTGAGAAACCAGAAGCCTTTTTATTAGGAATTACAGGTACCGACATACCAAAGGAGCAGAAAATACTTTTAAAGTATGGAACAACAGCTGCCCAGATGTTATTAGCCCAGAGCTGGAGAGAAGACAAAGTCTCTACCAGAGAAGAATGGCAAACCAAGCTGATGGACTATGCCAAGATAGCAAAGCTGAGTGGAAAACTCAGAAACCAAGAGGATAAATACCTTTATAAAAGAATGGGGAAAATTTATAAGTTACTTAGGAGACCACTGTAAGCAGATGGAAACAAGAGCAGGATTTGGATTCACTTGTAGTGTAAAAATTACTATGGACCATATGGTTTGATATAAAAATTGGAGTACGGATGAATATGCAGTTGTAGATGTTTAAAATGAGACCCCATGGAGGGGATGGGGGAAAGTCTTGAGATTCAGAGAATCTCTTTATATTGATATGTTTTTACTAGTGTGTGTATATTTGTACTTTGTATTTGTGAAACCAATAAAAATGATTTAAAAAAGAAATGTTTTAGACTACACCAGCCCTGGCCAGCACGGTGAGTCATCGAAAGCACCTGCCTTAGAGCAAACACAACACAGTTCTAGACTGGAGCACCGTCCTCTCAATTACTCTCAGCACCCCATGGCTAAAATGTGGAGTGACCTTACAGACAAAGCCTTCTCAAATCTGACCAAGAGCTCCTTTTTCTAGCATCTTGCCTCCAACGGCAGACAACCTGATGCCTATGGATGCTCTGGACCAGAGTGTAAAGGCAGTGTCACCTGAAAGTCAAAGGTAGACTGTCCTGAATGTGGAGGCTCTATTCCAAGCTAGCATGGTTCCAGGTAGTAGGTTGTTTTTTTTTTTTTAGCCATATAAGCTAATGACCATCCCCAGAGCCTGTGCTAATAAATCCCCAAATTCTTTATATTTAGAAAAATAAATAAAAACATGCAAATATTCTGTTGGCCTTCCAATCGCCCTGTGGCAGTGAGGTTGTTCACAACGCTGATTTGTAGTGACTGGCAGCCCCTTTGCCTCGTAGAGAAATGATGTCAGTAAATTGAAAACCCAGAAAGCAGGAGAAGAACTGAAATAACCAGGAATTCCGTTTGTGGGTGTGAAATAATGGATTTCAAGGCCGTGGTAAGTTATAAATGGAGAAGAGGAAGTGAAAGGGAGGTGTCAGTTTACCAACCAACAGCATCCTGTGGTCAGAAGCCAGCCACTTGGCACAGACCAGTAATTATCTTTTTTTCACACAGCCTTGGTTGCCCCCGGTGGGAAAGTCATAGTACTGCATGTGCACAGCCAAGAAAAACCAATTTAGTGATTTTACAGCAGCAGAAACAGTTTGCTGCATTCAGTGCAGACATCCCAGTGTTTGGACAATGCCTCCCATTTGCTTCCCTGCCCACCACCCAACTGTGTCAAGGTCCATTGCCTGCCGCTGCTGCTGTGCCAACCAGGGTAAAGGTAAAGGGACCCCTGACCATTAGGTCCAGTCGTGGCCAACTCTGGGGTTGCCGTGCTCATCTCGCTTTATTGGCCGAGGGAGCCGGCGTACAGCTTTCGGGTCATGTGGCCAGCATGACTAAGCCACTTCTGGTGAAGCAAAGCAGCACACGGAAACACCGTTTACCTTTCCGCCAGTAGACCTATATCTACTTGCACTGGCATGCTTTCGAACTGCTAGGTTGGCAAGAGCAGGGACCTAGCAATGGGAGCTCACCCCGTCGTAGGGATTTGAACCGCCGGCCTTCTGACTGGCAAGTCCTAGGCTCTGTGGTTTAACCCACAGTGCCACCCGTGCCCCTGCCAACCAGGGAGCTGTCTTTAAAAGGGGTCATCCTTGACAGCAGCTTGGTGGGGCTCGATGGTCAGATTTGGGACGGGATGTTTACCGGGATGCGGGTTCAGGTAAGAGCTGAAGACATCGCAGGTCCAGATTTTGACAAACTTGTCCCAAACGCACTCTCCCCATAGGCCTCGGCAACGCATGCTGAGGACCACAGAGCCTTTGCTGTTCACCTGGAAGAGACGGGGGAAGGGGAGGCAGGAGAGAGGGAGCCTTAGATCAGTTACTGGTCCTCAATAGATGGACCACTCAGGGCTAAAACACTTAGACACCAGTTCAGTTGAAGCGGTGCAGCAGCTAAGACAGGGCAATCTGCTGGCAGCTAGATCATAGCAGAGACTACGCATGCACCATGCATCTTAAGCATTTCCTTACCACAAAGAATTCTGGGAACTGTGGTTTACAGTTCTTAAACTACAGTTCCCAGGATTATTTCTTTTGAGAGGAGGATACATGTGCTTTAAATGTATGCAGTCAATGCCACAGCCTCAGTAATAGGTACTAGATGGATAACATCTGGAGGGATGGGTTGTAATTTTAATAAAGTAACTATGATAATATTGGCTCATCTGTACATCATTCTGTGAATTTTATGGGGAAGTTCTCAAGGTTTTATGAGCTTTTTAAAAAGCTCGTACCACTTACTTACAAAGCACAGCAATGACAAAATTCCTCCACACCCCCCCTCCAATCACATGCCCTCTGAAATTGCCCAAAGACTGTTATAAACGAGCATATGAAAATCTGATACAAATCTGGGCCATGGGCCTGTGCCTCAATTTCAAATGATTTAAAATACCTAGCAACATCCCTGGAAGTGAGTAACCCCTTTTAAAATTCCCACCAACTCTGCTTAAACCCTTAGGAACTAATACATACACCCACGTTCTGATCCCTAAGGGAATGAAAAGCCCAATTATGCACAAGGCAATGAAATCGTAGACCTAGCCCTTCCCATTCCCTTCTATTTCCCTCCAGTATTCTATAGATGAAATTAGGGACCAGCAGCTGTCCCTCCCCATTCTAGAAACTCCTTGGAGAGGAAGCTGAACCCTGAAGCATGGCCACAGCTAGAGTTTTAACAAGTCATGTGTAAAAGGCAAGAATCAGGGGCAGTGATTTCCCTCTCTGAGTCCTCATCCCGAGAAAGGGACAAGGAAATATGGCAAACAGGGACATTTGGAGCACATGTCTTATTCCTGGCACCCAACCAACCAACCATGTGCCCCTCCCAGACCCTTTCTGAAGAGTGGCAAGGGAAATGGCTTGCTCTTCTTACCTGCCAGCAGTCCGTGCAGATGGCGCCCACAGTACAGACAAAAGAAAAGGCCCCCAAGAAAATGGAGAGCAGGCTCGCGGTCAGCCCCATGGAAGAGACTTTGTGGAAGGAGTAAAGGGCCCAGCAGCCAACCCCACTGGGCTCCAGCTCTGTCCTTCTGCCCTAAGGGGTTCTCCCACCTGGCCCAGACGAGGGAACACTAGGCATTGGAAAGCCACCCCCCTCGCTCAAAACCTGGATGCTTGGAGACCTCCTCATTGGGCCTGGCTTAGGGGCTGAACATGCAGCAGTACCTTTTAATGAAATGGGAGGCTTTGGCTGCGGAGATTAATGGGGCACAGAGAAGCTTAAATGTCAGGCGGAACGGAAGAGGCAGTCAGCCAGCTCTGGGACCTGTTTGCAGGGCCAGATTTAAATAAAGAGAGGCCCTGGGCTACTCCACTTGTGAGGCCCCTCCCCATCCCCCACCCTAACAACTAGAAGAAAATGGAAGAGTGTTACAAACAAAACTGAGTGAAGCCAAGGATGATGACAGGTATTTAAAATTCTACAATTCACAATTTCTCCTCTAAAGGACATAAGATGTTATTGTTAAATACCATGGTGATTTTAAAAAATGCATAAAATTAACACAGAAAAACTTTTGCAATAACTGAACTTTGTAAACCTTTTGTGGCCTGAGCAGGCCTGGAACTAGTTCCCATGTCTTGTTCCTCTCTAAGGAATCAAGTTCAGCCTTCATGGCATTTAACCATGGCTCAGCATCCTCTGAGGTTAAACTTTGAACCTCTTGGAAGATTGAAAGTTCCCAAACCTTCTCTGAGTTACTAACAACAGCTGTATCTGCTATAACTGTTTTAGCAAACTCTTCAGCTTACCTTTTGGGTGGTTTACCCTTTGTGGCCCTTTCAGATCTGCGTACTATACACAAGTCTTCCATGCTAGGCTTCTTTTCTTTAGGAGAATAGTGGGCAGGCCAGGTCGTCCTCTTATATACCTGCTGGGATGGACAAGGCATCTGACCCTCACCTGAATCTCACAGCTCTCCTGTAGCTGCCTCTGGTTAGTTATTATTTAACTCTTGGGGGAAATAATTAGCATCACACATCATGTGCATGGAAGTTGCTGAACCAAATAACCAACTAGAAGGATTACTGTTAATAGCACCAGGAGCAGGGCCATCTTAACCGTTGTTACTAGGGGTGCACGGCACTAGGGAGCCTGGCTCTCAGGGACACCAGACTGAGAGTCCGGGGCCGAGCATTGGAGTCCGGGGAAGAGCCGCTGACAGTGGAGCGGAGCAGAGCCTGTCGGAGCGCCACCGGCTCTTCTGCTGCAGGTGGCTTTTCCCCAGACTCCAACGCTCTCCCCCAGACTCGCGCCGAGCCGCAGCAGCAGAAGAGCCCGCGGCGCTCCAACAGGCTCGGCTCCACTCGGCTGTTGGCTCTTGCCCCAGGTGCATGGCAGCTAACTGTTTGGGCGCCGCGCCCAGAGCGCTGTGTAACATTGTGGTGGGATCCGCAGCGCGCCGACAGCACCGAAGGCAGCAACAAAACCCAGCGAAGGAGCACATGGATGCCAACAGTTAAGATGGCCCTGCTCCTGTATAGGATATATCCAGTGCCAGATTTATGTATAGGCTAAGTAGGCTGAATCCTAGGGCCTCTAAATCTAGGGGGCCTCGCCAGCCTGCCATCTCCCCAGTGCCGCTCCCCAGCAGGCAACCTCCCCTCTCCCAAAATTGGAAACCCAAGACTTCATGCGAGGGCAGGGCAACATTTTCTGTCACTGCCCTAATTATTTGGTGATGCAAGCATTTCCTTTCAATGAGCTTTCATTGCTCTCGTGGCCAGAAGGGGGAGCTGAATACCATCATTTAAACCCGTGGAAAAGCCTCATGCCTGCAGAACAGCTCCTTTCTCCCAGGATCCTGTGGCCTAAGTTTGGTTAGGTGGTGCTTTGCAGCATTCAGCGACTGATTTGCCCCTCTGAAAGGCTAACAGCTAGGCTTCTCCCAAATATACTATTTGCTCCTGCCTCCTGCTCTACCAGTCCCAATGGGCACTGACCATTCCTGCTCCTCTTGTACTTTTCCACCCTAGCTGGTTGTTAGAAGAGCTGGTAACATAAGTTTGCTTGCTCCCTTCTCCAGCCCAATACGTTTTACTTTTGTGTCTTGATACCTGTAGGAAGGGGCTGTCTTGTTGATAGAGTTCTGTAAGCTGTTCCAGAAGCAGGATTGAAAACACACACATAAACACACACACAAGTCTCTCACAAGCTTGCAATGTATTCCTCTCAGCCACGGGAGAGCAGACACAGAGTACATATTCTCCAGCATGAAAGAGCTATGGAAGACTTCAGCTAGAGTTTAGTGAAGCTGGACACCAGCACCCATTTTATATGTTCTCAGGATAAGCCCAGTACTTCTGAGCATGTGTAGATTTCACTTCCTCTGGATGCCTTCAGCTATCGGGATTGTCCCCCTGCCACATGACTTCACCTGAACATTGAGGCTACTAAGGGAGACTCTTATACACCTTCCTCTGAGCCTCCTTGTCAGCCTGGATCATGGATCTCACTTAAGGATGACCTCCAAGGGTGTTCTGAAGCACCCCTAAAAAGATCTAGTTTTTGCTATGACAGCCTGCTGCACCTCAGAAAGAGGTTTTGATTGTGGCCTAGAGGCATCTCAAGAGAGACTCCATTATAGCAAGCCAGGTTTGCAGGTTCCAAGCCAGCCGAATTGCAAGACACACACACACACACACAGAGAGAGAGAGAGAGAGAGAGAGAGAGAGAGAGCGCGCGCAAATGGATTATCTTCTTCCTTTTGTTAATCTCTGCCACCCCTCCCTTATCATTTGAAAACTGAAAAATAAAGAAAAGAGCATCAGACTTCTTCTGGAGATTTTTCAATAGCCCAAAGGCTCTGGCCAGCAGAGCCCCAAAGATATGTTAATCTCTTCCCCCCATCTTATCTGCACAGCAGAACAGGTTTTTTCCAGAAGCCATTTCCCCCAACACTTTTAAAAGAAAATTCCTTCCAGTAGCACCTTAGATTAAGATAAACCCTTCCAGATTGGTGCCATTTAAGAACTGATAACACCCACCCACTGTCTAGTCTTTGTTTCTATGTTAATTTTCAATCCCAATTTAGAGATAAGTGGCAACGGTCTTCACCTTGCTAGACCTCATCTGCCTCTGCCAGGCATGTTTTCAGAATAACTCTTGCATTGAGTATTAACTCTCCTCAGACTAGATTAATGTGCCATTTATTGAAATTGTTTAAATGTTTTTATTAAAAATGTGCTGATGCCCTTTTGATATAATAAAATGTACTTCATCCGTATGGCTTCTTTAGGTGTCAAACTCTAGAGTGTGTTGGATCTCAGCATCATGCAATCCCTAGAATTCAGTGTCAGAGCTGCATGTGAGAATGGCAGGCTTGCATGTAAACACCACGCTTCTTAACAAGGGGGCCAGACCCCTTTGGCAACATTTCCCCCAGGCTGATGGTTGCAGGACATCTGGGAACATTATATGAGATATACTAAATGATTTGGCTCTACAGAACCACCCAAGATTCCCAAGACTGGAAGGATGAGGATTTTGGTCTGCTGTGTTTGTATCCTGGCTCAAACTAGCTGCAGGTTTTTTTTTTCTTTGACCAATGACTTGGGATGGCCTGCTGCAGGACTCTTTAATTCTGGGCTACAGAGGAGCTGAACAAATGTTGTCCTGGTTCATAAGTAGAGCCTGCTGGCCCTTTGAGTCCAGCATCCTGTTCTCACAGTGACCAAGCTGATCCCTGAAAGAGAAGCCCACAAGCAGGTCTCAGGCACAAGAGCTCTCTCCCCTCCTGTGGCTTCCAGCAACTGGTATTCAGAACCATTGCTCCCTCCAGCTGTGGAGGCTGACCATAGCCATCATGGCTAGTAGCCATTGATAAACATCTCCTTCTTCTGCACCTGGTGGGAGTGTGGTTTTCCAAGTGAGGGGCAGAAATATGGTGTGCTAGAAGCTACAAACATTACTAAATTGCAGAAGTTGGCAGGCTGGCGTGGGGTTGTATTCAAGGGGGTCCCTGATCAGTCTCACTGTTCCAGCTACCAAGATGCAGACACAAATCAATTTTATTATCTTGTTATAAGAAAAAAACCCTGCTCCTTTTCCCTTATGGGTTTACCCAAGAGCCTGTATAGAGTCCTTATGTAGGTTCTCTATCAGTAGGAGGAAAATAACAGAGGCCAACCAGAGAATACTGAGAAGCAAAGCAGCTAGTAAGCCTGATCCTTATTAAACTGTTGCAACAGGGTGCTCACTCACCACACACGCAGGAGGGAGGAGGAACCCAGAACACTGGTGTGCAAGCTCTTATAGAGACTTTTGAAATTGCCACCCTATAGCTCAAGACCACCCCCCAAAACATCATACATACATCACTGAAGGGGTGGTCTACAGCAGCAAACCTGTCTGCCAGGATACCTGGGCATCCTGGCTATTCTTTTGTGATGGTAAATACTCAGTTCCTGAATCCAGGTCATAGGCTTACCCTAGTCATACACTTTGACCAAACTGTGGGAGGCAGTGGAAGACAGAAGTGCCTGGCGTGCTCTGGTCCATTGGGTCACGAAGAGTCGGACACGACTAAACGACTAAACAACAACAACAACAACAACAACAGTCATACACAGATACACCCTTAAGACAGGATTTGTGAGCAAAGAGACAATGGGGAGGTTTTCCCATTTCCTTCCTCCTTGCAGAGAAATATTTGAGGTCAATTTGGGAGAGTCAAAATAGCTTCAGGATTGTTCTCCTGTACTATTTCAGACACGTGGTTTATATACTTGTGTATGTGTTTGCCTTGTACATTTATGAACATTTATTTTATATATATGAGACCTCAGTATTCCTATAACAATCTGAAGAAGACTGTGCTACACTGCTGCCGTTACTTATTCATCAGGCACACGTACACAGCTCCTCTCTCTTGTTGAGGAGGCCGTTGGGCAAGCAGACGGGGCGAGCGGCACGTGCCACTTAAAGGCATCGCATGGTTTCATGTCATCTTAACCAGAGGCCTGCTGTCAAGGCTGGGAGTGTGGCACGGGCCTCTATTGTAACCACACAAAGATTAAACCGATAATGGTTCTCCAGGGGGAGATGAACAGCTGTCCCTGAACAAGCATTAATGAGCGCTTAGCTTGCAGGGGGGGGGAGAGAAGATCCAGATTTTAGCTCCTTCTTCCATTCGCTAAAACGAGACCTGCCAGGCGGTCCAACTCTGAAGGAAAGCCTGGGTTCTGCAAAATGAAAAAAGAAACCGTTATCCTTCTGATTTGCTGCTATATTATGACGCACAGTTAAACAGACGGGTGGGGATTCTCGTTGCCCCTAAACAAAGCCATTTTCCCTTTTAAAAAATTCAAAAAACAGCCTGATGCTATCTACGCCTGCTAATGTTATGTCCAGTTGTTATCTCAGACAGTTCTAGAAGCTTGCATGTGGCTTAGTCAAGACCCCGTTGTTTGGCAGTTTGAACTCTGCTTCATCTGCAGGTTTTGGCACCCTAAAATGTTGGGTTTTGGTATGCAGTGTGGCTTTTGAATTTGGCCAGAGAGTCGAAGTTACCTTTTGCAACCACACACAAAAATATATTGGTAGAAAAAACACACAATATAGTTGTGCATTATAAGAAGTACTATACCGAACTTGGATAGAAAAGGCTTCGAGTTCTAAGCCAGCTAACAAAATCTAGAGAAGACAGAGGTAGCCATGCTTGCTCATTTGTTCTCAGAGGATAAATCCACGGTGACCTCTCATCTTGAGGTCTGAGAGAGAAGCGTGAGGAGGAAGTTGTAATTGGATGCAACCTAAAATGTATCAGTCCATACATCAAAGACCTTGTGGGGTCAGCACAGAGGTCAAAGGTACAGGGATAGACTCTCTTGCTCCAACTGTTTTAACCACATGTGAGCCCTTTTCTGAAAGCTGAGTTGCACCAAAACTTCCAACCCAGAGGGGAAGTGGGATTCAGGAATTGCCATGCAAAAATGACCCAGAAGCCTTTGCCATATCACAGAGCAGAGGCAGGGAACCTCCGGCCTGGGGAATGAATGTGGCCCCCCAGGGCTCTCTACATAGCCTTCGTGATGACTCTGCCTAGGGCATGCCCCACAACCAGCTACGCCTTTCAACAGCCCTACTGAGGGTCCTCTTTCTCTGCCTGGAATATGTCCTGAGGCTTGAACTGAGATAATGCCTTTCACATGGAACTGTACAGTTGGAAGGGACCTCAAGAGTCATCTAGTCCACCCCCGTTTCTCTCCTTCAACAACCATTTGACCAGCAGCAGTAGCTGGTAGGTGC